ATGTACTAACAGGAGTCAGGAGTCAATTGGGACATTTTATTGGTTTGCAATATTATTTTAAGATGTGAAATAATTATCATTTTAACTTGATAAAATATATTTGGTTTTAGATCATTTAGTAGTTATGAGACCAGGTGGATACCCTGTTGCCATTAAAAATGAAATCAAAGATAATAAATCATTATGGTTGGAAAACATTGTTGATTCTAGTGATAATCTCGCGTGAGTTGATTGACTGACTTAATTTATATAATATTAGTTAACAATAATGTTTATATTTTATTGTTTTTAGAATTGGTATATTACTTTACAAACCAAATAGTTATGTCATCAATTTAAATTGTTTAAGAGGTCCATACATGCTTACAAACAAAACAATTGAAGCTTTGGGTGTAGCAGTTTTACCAATATCAATGGATGTTTGGGATGGTCTTATTGATTATGAAAAAATACCTTACATTATGAGAGAGCTAAAATCAAAGGCTGATCTTAATTTAATTACAGAATAATGTTGTACAAAGTGTATATTTTTATATATGTACATGTACTTCATTACTTCGTTCATTGTACTGCAGTTTTGTTAAAATTGTTTTGGTATAATTTAGTTTTTTAAATAAACTCCTATGTGAATGTGAATATCTGTTGAAAATATTTTGTAACAATTATTTAAATACTTTCTGTTTAGTTTAATTTTAATACCATTTATGAACATAATTATAATTGATGGCAGAAGTTTAAGCTGTGCCCCTGATTTTACGTTCATATGAATATTTTATATAAATTATTGAACTATATGTATTATGACAATGGCCATACACATATACAATCATATTTATATATTTTTCATGTTAATTGGACTATACCATTACCATATATCGGGTCAGTAACTTTAGCCACTTCTTGTCCTATCCATTCCAAACCAACGTCAATATTCAGCTAGTCAATTGCTATAACAAATATTTCAATTTCTATATTTTCTAGATTTACAAAAATAATTAAATTTTATGTATTGTAAATAAAAAAATGTATAATAATAATATCACATATACCTAAGTACAATTAGTAAAAAAAAATGATGAATAGAATAAATAAAAACAATTTGAATAAAAAGATCTATTAAGATTATTACTGAAAATAGTAAATGACTTGCAGAAATCAATAAAAATTATATATATTAATAATTGAAAAAATAAAATATTTACAAATAATTATCTAAATTGCCTCAGAAATAATTAGTATAAATGAATCATAAAAATGATTAAAAACTTATGTGAAATTATAATGTTAATAAAAATATAATATTTAAAAATAACTAATACAATGTTGTTTGATATCATTAAATAAATTTTTTAAAAATAAAAAAGACTAATTATGTTGTTAATAAAAATTTAATATTAAAAAAAAAATTATAAAATTTGTTGACTTATAATAATGATAGGGTAACAATAGGGTAATAACAATTAATCATTTTGAATCATTTTAATTGTTATATTTATTAGATATTTTATATCATTTTAGTTTTCATTTATAATTTTTACAACATATTTATTCATTTTTTTTTTATATATTATCCCGGTTAGTTATTTTATTAAAGTACTTTTTTTTTAATGTTAATATTTTAATTAATTATTGATACACAAAATTGTAATTGTTAGTTTCATTAATTATAAATATACATTCATTTTCAATCATTTTTATGAGTCAGCCATATTAATTATTTTTGAGTCAATTTTATTCATTATTTTTAAATATTAAATTTGTATTAACGAGTAATTTGAATTAATTGGACTTACAGGTGTTAATTTTTCTTATAAATTGTTTATATTATTTTTAGAAATCTAGAAAGTATAGAAATCGATATATTGTATATAGTAATTGATTAGCTAAATATTGAAGTTGGTTTGTAACGGATCTTACAAAGAGTTTGGCTTACAAAATTTTGCGAAAAAATTCACCTAAGTTACAATTTGATTTGCAAATTCTAAAAATCAATTTCCAATTTTTTGTCCACCACCCAGGGATGTTCTTATTTAATGGAACAGAGTATATTATAGATTGCATTTAACCATTCTAACCTAAATGTATAATATTGCAATATACTAACTAATCCAAAAGTCAGTAGCTCTCATTCACAATATAATGCAGTTATTGTAGTTCTGTTTTTTTTAAATGTAATATATAGTTAACTAATTGCCTGAACTGAAGTGCATTTTTTTTAAATATAATTTATTAGTAACAGCCTTTTTTTTAATATGATGGGTGATATTTTTGAAAATTTTAAAAATTGACATATTGAAGAGTTATTTATTTAAAATATTGAGAAAAGCATGTAGATATAACAGATTTTGAAATCGGTCAAATTTTGAACGAATAAAGGAAACTCATATTTTCAAAAATATACCATAATTTTATAAGATTGTGTGATTTTTACACTTGGATAATATTAATGGCTAATGAAATTCCAATAATTCATACAACTTGATGAAATGTATAAAATGTTTTTGAATTTGTTTTCATGTATGTTTGTTTCTATGTATTATGTATAAACTTTGAACTGTGTTTATGATGTCTTTTTCTCCATATCACAAATAAATAACGGCTAATTTCAAATTTTTAAATAATAAAAAAAATGTAAAAATGTATTGACCATGGTAAACGAGAGTCTTCAGTTTAGGCTATTAATTACCTATATATTACGTTTAAAAAAACAAAACTACAATATCTGTATTCTGTATTATTTCACGAATAAGACCTACTGACTCTCCAATTAATTAACATAATGTAACTCCCTATTAATAAAATTAATTTCTTCATTAAGGGGTATGAAACCTGAAGTTTAAGTCTGGATGTTGAATGCTTAGTCTCTTTTAATAATTTCCAATCATAAATTAAATTGTATACAGTGTTGAGTGGTTCATAAAATTAATATTTTTTTATACAGTTTAAATTGCTTGTGATCTTGAACGATTTACTATTATTATACCTAATTTATAAATTTCTTTTATTTGAAATAAATATTTCATTTTTACCAGTCCTATGTCTGGCCTGGTAGATTCTACCCAAAATGAAAAGCATTTAAAATTTTAATAAAACATTAAAGCATTGAAGTTATAATTTTTCTTTGTCTGCTTAGTGTAAGCTTTTCAAATTTGCATGTTGCTACAACAAGTAGATTCATTGAGGTAGTTATGAATTTTTTAGCTATTTAGCTTTTAGTTTTATACTTGTGACCAACTAGTTCAATACTCACCTACCTAAATAAGTACTATGTGTCACTAATATTAATACATTTTATTTAACATGTAGGACGTAGGTACATATTTTATAAAAACATCTTTTGGACTCAATAATTAAATCTTTTGTTTTTATTAATGTCAATCATTATTAAAATTTATTTAATCTACTATATGTTATTTGTTTTGAAAGAAGGAGGTGCATAACTTTAATTTGTCACTACAACCTGCACAGGTATATTTTGGGAAGTAAGTTCCATTGACGAGTATTTACCCAGCAGGTTAACAATATTTAAGAATACAACTGTCGGATCTCCTTGGTTAAAGTAGATTGCAAACAAATAATTTATGGCAGGCATTCATCAATTTAAAAATAAACAAACATGAGCCATTGATATTCGTCAAAAGTGAAAGAAATTATGATCCTAGCAACAGGGTTTTTCATCAAATAGGTAGGTAGGTACATCAAAAAATAGTGCATTTTCAAAATTACTGTGTACCATAGGGTTTCCCTAATTGGACTAACTAAATTTTCGATGTGATATTCAGCCAGGATTAGTGTAATAATTATTTGGGACTTTAGGAGTAGGACATTTGACCGTGTTTAGATAAAATGGATGTCAGGTGTTGAACACTATTAAAAAATGTTTGAATTAGTTTGAATGTATAGTCTTTAATTTTCACTATATAGGTAAGTTTATCAACATAAAAGTTATATTTATATATCGTACAATATCAATGTGACACTAGGTACATAAACTTAATGATATAAAATTATTGTATACAAAAAACAATTCTGAGCGAATGCGGTCTGTTGGCCTACAACTATTTTAATTAGGGCCCGGAACTTGATGATCTAAACATACATTAAAAAAATGCCTAAAATGACATGAAAAAATGATACTAAAAATATTATTTATATAATTATTATTACTTATTATAGTCTATAATAATACTATGCTTATAAATAATTATCATGGATTTAAGTTCAACTTTTTTTTAATTTTCACCTACCAAAACTTATGAAGAACCTTGTATAACATTTTTAAGTTATTTGACTAAGCGAAAATTATTTTATCATCTTAAATTTAAAAAAAATAATAATAAAAATCTAAAATTTTATTTCTCCATAAATAGCTCAACACGAGTCAAATAATTTTGAAAATATATGGTGTATAGAAAATGCCAATATTCAACTGAATGTTTATTCAGTGAACATTTCTTGTATCTGAGTTAATTTTTTTTAGAGTCAAACCAAAAACCAATATCAATTTTATTAATTATTAAAATAATGATAAAAAAAATGTATGTTAATTTAAATTAAATCTATATAAAATTAGGTACAATAAAAAATAAGAATTAAGCTTCGATAAAAAATTAATGTTTTCTATAAATCTATTAGTTTTTATTAATCTCTTTTACACAATCTAGTTATACTTATTGTTTTACAAAAAAAGAAAGCCTGGTTTGATGTGTTGATTTTTGCATTGATTGAACCATTGATGAGACTAAGTTCAATAAATAATTTAATTTTAAATTTTAATGCCAAATTTAAAATCAAAACAATGTTATTCCAATGTATAAATTATTAAAACAATGAATAGTTAACTTTAAACATAAAAATAGAATTTAGAAATTCACAGTAATTAACCTAATACACAAAAACACAACTGGAATTAAATGTAAACGGTATCATAATTCATAATTATATAAAAAATAATGGAGTTTTATTAACCTTACATAAAAAAATTTAGCTGTTAACTTTTTAAAAAAAATAATTGAATACTCTAATTACAGTGGGTTCCGCTTAATGTGATCACTTTGGTGCAGGTCATTTTGATTCTATTAACCATTTGATTCTATAAACCAGTGATCACATTAAGCAGAACTCACTGTATTTAATTTAAAACATAACGTTTACATTTCTTCGTAATATTTGTACAATATGTCAGTGAGTAAAAAACGTAAAATCTCGTAATATCTCAACAACACTATATTAAAGATATAATAGACATTTTATTAGTTACATTAGACATTTATAATTAAATACATAATAATACATATATAGTTTAAAGAAAAAATAATTAGTATGTCAAAAGTTATTTTTAAATTTTATGAATTTTTGTTGCTACAAGAGCGCCTGCCCAATGATTGTATATCTGGAGATTGTTGAACTACTAATAGATCGGATGTTAATCTATTACGTATTTTAGCTTTCACTTTGTTATTTGCTTCGTTTTTACTATGTATCGAACTTTTAGACTTTGCTTCCATTAAAGAAGCCAATTGCTTTTCAGGTTTTAAACGTTCAATTTTTATTTCTGGTAAAACCAGATCAACGTGATGACCAAACTTTAGACATGCTTTTTCTAATGCAAGTTTTGATTTCTGATCCTTATCACTAGAGCGCAAGTTAGATTTTCTACTAATAGTTTCAGGTGTAACAGAACGGTTTGAAGTTTTACCTCTTAAAATCTCTGGAGTTACTGACCTAGAAGAGCTATCTGAAATAGTTAAATCTGTTAAATTAGTTTTATGATTCCTACGCTGTTTACTATTATCTGAACTAAAACTAGATTCTGACACATTTCTACTTTTTCTGTTTCGACCTCTGAAATTTGAGATTTTTTCAATCTTCTCCACATCTTTAGATTCATTTAAACTTTTTTTATTGTACTGTTTCAAATCTTTTAACTTGTTTTTTTCATCGGGTTTACTATTTTCTAGTTTGTCATTTGTGCGCAATGATCTTCTAGTACATGGACCATCATCAGAACCAACTTCATTGGTTTTAGCTGGAGAGCTTTCTAATAATGTTGAAGTAATTGTCTCATTGAGACCTTCCTTCGAATCTACAGAGGACATAGAATTAGATTTGGATCTTGTTTTTCCACTCAAGTTTAGGGATTTTTTCTTATGAATTTCATCATTTTTTTCATCACCTTTGGAAATAATATTAATTTAATAATAATTAAAATAATACAATTTAAAAATCAACACAATTAACTTACTTTCTTTATTTAGTTTTCTAATTTTTTCTCTTTCTTCAGCAATCAACTGGTCATACTCTTCTGGTAAAACAAAATCTTCCTCGGCAGTATCAAAATTTTCTGCTTCAATAATATCCTAAAAATTTTAAAATATTACATTAAGACTCACATTAGGTAGAGATTATAAATTATCATTAATAAGATTATCATTTACAGCAGCTCTAATATCCCATTTACTTGAGATATAACTCCATAGAACATTAATTGGTATATCAATTTTTAACTGTTTATTGATTCTTTCTTTTAGTACAAGTAAATTTAAGTGTTTGTTAATTCCTGAAACCAAATACAATATATTATTTAATATAATTTATGAATATAATGTGTGTATTTAAATAAATTTTAATTGTACAGTAGGTAGAACCTCAATTATTTGAAATAATAGGGAACGTAATTCAAAAAGATAGAATTTGTCAAATACTATATGTATATGCATTTTATATATAATATATTTAATATGTTCATACATATTACAAAAAACATACACAATATGTTTATGATGTTTATAATTATAAGCATTATTAATATAGAATTATTATAAACATTATAGGTATAGTTTATATCAATTTTTATACAGTACAATTTCCCCACTAGAACAGATCAAATTAATTGTATCTAGTAATGTTTAATTTACCAATGTAATAAAAAAATATATTAAACGTCACATACTATGTTGCATGAAAACTTGATTAATTTAATGGTCCAATTATGAGCCACTAAACCATGTTTGAGGGCCCCTTACCTCACTATTGATTCATTAAATATTTAATGATTGTCCATGCAACAAAGAAATAGTTTTATATAGGTACTTATTATAATTTAGTAGATTTGTGTCATGACTGTATATTTTTTTGGTATATTTGTTAAAAATTATTTAAAAAATAAGTAAAGTTAAAATTTGTCATTTTACTAAGACTATCTGATATACTTAAATAATTAGGGATATACAATTTTAACTTTTGATAATTTGGTATTTATTACATAGTTCTATATTTATTAGTGGTTTTTTTTTGTTTTAGAGACTTTTGATGTTTTTTGGGAATTTAATGAATAATTATCTGAAATCTAGTAATTAGTAATGGGATTTAATAACATTTTATTGATAAGATGTACACGGTTTTATAATTTTTACTTTATAATCCAAAACTATGAGCTTGTAGGTCTCTGTTTATAAATTAGGTCAATAGTATTTACAATTATACCATTGTTACTAAACCATTTACAAAGTAGTATCAACATTATATGTAATTTAAAGTACCTATATTTATTATTTTACATAAGTTTCTTAGATTAAATGAAAAAACTTTACAAGAACAAAGAATATTTGATAGATTACTAGATACATGCTTTTTAAGAAACATTCAAATTAATATAGAGTAGGTAGGTACCTATTGAATCATTTAATTTAGAACTTTTATATTCTAATTTTCACTTAATTTCTCTTTATCTATATTATATATAAAGATAAATTACTTAGAGACAATAAGGATTGAACATTAAGTAATAAGTAAGGTAGTAAAAACCTCTTGATTTTCACTCACTGTGATACATTATTGAAATTAAAGTATGATTACTTATTATAACAATTATAAAGATTATTATCTATGTTTTGCCAGAGAGATTTTTAAATTTTTTTTAGTTGTTCTTTATAGTTAAGATAACAATACCTGAATATGTTTTAGCTACCTATATTATATTATTATATGCATGCAAGACGGAGAAAAAATTATACTGTTTTCTTAAGTCAATTACATCAGGCTTAAAAATAAATCAATAATAGTTATTATCTACTACGGGCCTGTTGCCATTTAATACAAACATTTTCATTCATTGATACGTTATGTGACTAATACTCATTTTGTATGACATACCTAATTTTTTTGGACACTCACAAAACTGTACTTAAACTAGACCAAAGAAAAAAATTCTAGCTTAACTACTTTAAACACACAAAATAACTAATAATAAAATACACAATGTTTAAATTAAATTAAATCATTAAAAGCAACCTGATACTGACAATGTCAAATGATTTTATATTGTGCTTTATGATAATATTATAGTATATTGGTATGTGTATACTAAATACAAAATATTATTTAAGTAAATATGTTATGATACACATTGGGTATATCTTTATAATAATTAACCTAAATATTTTACAATAGAAATATTCTTTATAATTGTATAGTGTAGTGGTCCAGCCCACAGATCGTGGTGTACAAGATGAAAAATGAGGAGGTGTAAATAATTCTAAGTCAACTTTAGATTATTATGAACATAGACTTTATTTGACATGTAAAACTGATAGATTATTTTGGTACACTGAAATTTATCAGAGAGTCGACTGGCGTGAAGGTGCTAGTACTGGCTCTGGTGAATGACGTCTGAATATCGAGTGGATGGGTCCCTGTTGTATAGGCCTACTCGCCACTCTCCTCCTAGCGATAAGATAGCGCTGACCCCGTTTACTATTGCACGTGTGCGTAGGTTTCCAGAAAACGGTCGCCCGGTTGAGGCGGTCGAAAGATTAGATATATTATCTCACGGGTATTTAATATAATAAAGTAATATTACATTTAATATTTATGCCCATAGATATTTCATGTTTTAACTATTTTCATTTATATATCTCGCAACGCACTTTCGGTAGTCGGATTCTCAGAACTACGCACCCGATTTCTTATTGCGTAGTTATTCTTAATCCCCGAGGTCGACAACATCCTAGTGTGAACAATCTCATATTATGTCCCCCTTGCTATTTAAGCCTTTAAATATATGTGTATATGGCGGGACGTCAGTACATAGCAATAGGCTACTGTTGTATCAACTGAATAATGAATTTATTTGAAAAACATGACCTATATAAAATTGATATAAAACAAATGCAAACAGTGATGTAACAAACTTACCACAAGGCTTTATACCAATCATGCTGAATAGCAAACACTGCTCAAGTTCTATAGTCCATTCGAAAGTTATAGTTTGCCTAGTATCCGTGGGATTGTTGTCTTCCGTTCCTGAACAATTTGTCGCATCTGATTTAGATGGCAATTGATTTGACATGACTGAAAAAATGATCTCTGTTATACGCTCAGACTTCCAAGTGCATACAACACTAATCACGATGCGCCGTTCGCATTAATCTTTTTTGAAAAAAAAAGATAGTTGCTGCCTTGCTGGTGGTCTCACAACAATAACGCGGGTGCCGTTTCGTGGTGGTAGAGGTGATTGCCGTAGTATTATCAGTATGTCCGAATTAATTTAATTTTTAATAAGTCTGAGGCCGACAGGGCAAGTAGTCCCTAAATATTAATAACAATTACAATAATAATAAAAGATAATATTGTTATTGTACCGTCCTGTTAGTTGTTATTTGTTAACCGTTCCCTTTGTGTAGTGATGAGCGCATAGATAATAAATGAAAATAAATAATTTATTATCTATGGATGAGCGCTTCCCCCCTTAGATCATATACACTGGATACTGGATAGTGCTATAGCGTATATCACGCGTAGACCGTGTTTGAAGCAGACCTGTTCATGCCCGAAGTACTTATTGCGCATGCGTGAGAAATGAAATAGATCGCGCGGGACGGGGAAGGAACAATAATGTGTTATAGTGAAAAGGACGATTAGGTACTGAATGCTTAGACCATACACTTTGCTCATGCGCAGTGATGACTTCGGGCACGAACAGCTATGCTTCAAGATTTTAAACCATAGCTCTATCCAGTGTATATGATCTAAGGCTTCCCCGCAGTATTTGGCTGGCTTATCATAAAATAATGTTGTCACGTAGTTAATATGAAATAAATCCCGCCAATTTCAAATTATAAAATAAACATAAATTATCAAGGTTAGAGTAGGTAACACAAATTATCAAAAAAAAATAGTTTTAATATTTGAAAAAAATAATATTTTTATATTAACACTACTAATGTCACATACCTACATGTAGAGGTAGATAATGGAGCAAGTGAATAGTTTTGTAATGGAGTCATGGAGACTGGAGCTGTTAAACATAATAATTACTTTATTACATATTAATTACAACAAAAATGCAGTTTTTTTTTACAAAATGGAATTAAAGGTTTTAATATTCTAGTTATCTCTTTGAAATATTGTATTTATAAAACAAAGATAGAACAGTTATGTTTGTAACACACTCAATCATAGTTAACCATGATCAAATGTCTGGTGAATATTAACATATTAATTGTTCTCGCTATCAATTCCATCACGAATAGCATTTGTTTCATTTATAGTTGGCTTATGAATACCATTTTTATGCAATCTTCTGTTTTTGGTTGAGTATAGATGCATTTGGCTAGTAATTTTTTTTTGGATATTAACATTTTCAACAGTATTAAGATGGAGTTTTTTTGTTTTGTTCAACATATGATATCATCCAATTTTTTATTAAGTAGCATGTCTTCCCTAATCCCTTCCTCCTCACTAACTTCACTTGTAACACATACGTATCACGAACATTTCATTTCATGCCACATTCCAACTGGATATTGCAGTGGCGCCCAGATATAGGTTAGCAAGGGGTGCAACTGCATGTGCTCTCGTGGTGGGTCGTGGGTGGGTGGGTGACCACCACAACTATGGTCTATGAGCCGACTCACAACGACAGTTAAACGGTGTGACTGTGTGTTAGCGTACACTACAGTCTGTAATCCGTACTGTTTTACGATCAATTCCGTTCCTTTTAATTTCGTGATTTTAGGTCGGACGTCAATGCCGCCGGTGCTGCACTCTGCTCGGTACGAAAATGTGCAATAACAAAATATTAAATATTTAAATTGCACATTTGCCTGCAACTCACTGCATAGTAGCAATAAGATGTTCCGTACCTACATATTATTATTATTGATTTCGTACCAGACGGCCAAACAGATGTTCAATTTTCTAAGTGTCATCCTTAAAATATATGAATAGCCTAAAGCCGTAGGTACCCCGTACTCCATAGTTAAGGAATCCCTACAAAAAACCAAGGAAAAAAGAACGATATGAAACATTTTTAAAAATATATTTATGATTTTAGTGTCATCGAATTATGTGAAAAAAATATTTTCAAAGCAGATAATGAGTGGTTCATGATAAAACCATCACTTTCTATAATATTTAGTACCTAAAATTTTTAAAAAATATGTAATACCTATTTCTATTATTATTTGTTTTTTTATAGGTTATAAACTTGTTATAATGCTTTTTTGTTTTAATAAAGTTTAACTTGTGGTAGATAGGTACCTATAATATAGGTAGAGCAATATATGACTTTATTTGGTACTAGCTCCTATGTAGACCATTTCATTCTTTATTTTTATAGTTTATGCATTATGTGTTATTATTTCAGTGAATACAATTTAGTCTGCCGACAGTCACCAATGTGTTAATATGTGTTACAAATTTATTTATTTTTCTTGGTGTTAATTTTTAGAAATTTAACTTTTTAAATCTATATTTATAATAAGGTGAAAATATGGGGTTTTGAAGGACACTCATATATTGCTAAGTACGTGGTAAAAATAATTTTTTCTTGGAAATATTCGACAAAAAAAAAAACATAATTGCAGTCTTACTATTTGATAAATATCAATAATTAATTATGTATATATTATGCTCCAATAATAACGTACGAATATCAATTTATTAACAAGCAAGATACATTTTTTAATTTTTTTGTAAGTTGTATACAAAAACATTTTTTTTTAATGAAATAAGATTTTTTTATACTAAAATAATTTTATGACATTTTTTGAATAATTTTGACATATTGCTGTACTTTATATGTGTATTCATACATTGTTTTTTACTGATATTCTGTTTGACTGATATTGACATTATAAAATGTAATCCTGTATTATTTTATACTAGCACTAGGTATTGATTAATTAATAATAATAAAATAACATAATTTTATGATTTTTAATTTGACTGAAAATACTAAACAAATAACCAATGCGGTAGGTCACGTAGCCCAATAGCTCACTTATTAAACGAATATCAATTTTTTTTTTTGATAGGTAATAAATGATTTATAACATAAATAATAAATATGAATATATAATTAAGATTTTGAATATATTAATATTTTTTAAATTGTTGTTCTTTTATTAATTGAAATTTTTAGCGATTACCGTAGATAGATGGTTACCTGAACGAACTTCCGAATTGGAATGTGTATTTTTATAATAATACCTTAACTGCATAGTTTTTTCAAAAATATCCCTTCTACGCAGCTTCACAAAATTATAATTTTTTTATTATCTCAAAATCATAAATGTATTTTATTATTGTATATAAAGTATTTACATATAAGAGTACCTATAAATAAAAAAATAATAGGCCAGATCTTATAAATTTGTAATTGTTCGTACCTATCACTTTCTTCATAATTTTTAGACATCCGCCTACTTTAGTTACGAATATAGGTACGTGTTTATTTCCTTGGAGTCCTCTCCGACGAGTTTAAAAGTAAGTAATTTAATGAGTACCTAGTAAAATTTTGACAAATACAAAAATATTATGTAAGACTATTTTACATTTTAAAGTTGTTAACATTTTATAACTATCAATAGGAAATTAAAAATGTTTAGAATCCTAATTCTGAACTTAATAATGTGCCAATACCTACTCAATAAGTAAGAGAAAAATTACACCTATCACTATCACAATTAACGTTGATATTTTTAAATAGGAAAAAACAAAATTTTAAAATGAAAAATATATTTAATTTAAAGTTCTAAATTAATTAATCTATATTCATTATTGGATTTATTTTATAATCAAATCAGTTCAGATAACGATTAACGAAAAATAATCACAATAGTTTCTTACACTCAACCTTTTCAACAGATCAAGTTCAAGCTTAACAAACCGATAAGTATGAAAAAATTATCAATTTATCATAAGTTCATTAAAAAAAAAAAATTATTTTTAAATTTAAGATTATAAATACATTTTCTATAATAAATACCTATTGTTTTACAATCAAATCAGCTCAGAATTTCATTCAACGAAAACAAATTATACTTCTTTCTTACACTCAACCTTTTGAAACAGATCAAGCTTGAATACAATTTCATTGCTTCACTATAACCTCGGACAATAGGAGGGAACCTTTTATAATATAATTATTTTTAATTTAAAAACAACGGTAAATGGTTGCAAGCTTTGAGATTAGGTAAAGGTAATTCTTTTATTTTTTTTTGTCAAAACATAATTATAATTCAATAAATAATAATCCATTATCCATCCATAGGCACACCCTTGTCCTCCTTAGCTGGTGAGATGGAATGGTGGATAGTACATTTTTGGGATAGATCATTTCTGAAATCTGTAGTCAATTAGATTGATTAAAATATAACATATATCTCATGTCAAAAATCTCGCCGAAAAGACAACCGGCCATCTTGCATACTCCTGTAGAAACGTCCATAAACCTATCTAGGCACCTAGTTCAAAATATTCATTGATATTTACATTAAGCTTTAAATAAGTACCCGTAGAAGTGGAATAATATTTGTATTATTTAAACATCGTAATGCAATATTATATTGAGCTAAATATCAAATTTTGAAGTTTTTTGATTTTTTAGTTTTAGTATTAGGTTTATTATTATTATTATTACCTAATAGATGCAATGCACGGGAAATAGATTTATTCAAACCTTATAGAGTTCGATGGATTTACAAGGCTCGACGTGACCATATTTAAATTTTTATGTTATATGTTATTATAATTTCGAATATCACAGGTATGATATATTTATATTATAATAAATCCTAAACATTTTTCGCGTAAAAGACTAAAATATTATTGGTACCTATAAGATTGATTATTTTACTAACACTAATTAAATATTGATAATCGATGCATTTCATGAAGTTTTCTACCACATTATGGTTAAATTATAAATGATTATCTTTTCTAAACTATAGTAATAAAAATAATCTAAATTAAAAATGATAAGATTTAGTGTATTGAATACCTATATATATTAGGTAGGAACTCATCGATATTAATACCTACATTTTAATATGTTATTATGATTTATATACTAGTTTAAAGTTTTACATACATAACACAATTTTTCCAATTTTAGTAAGACATTTGTTGATTAATAGTAAAATTCTAGGTAACTATATTTGGTATATTCTCTGTCAAGGTCTATGGTAGATATTAGATATACTTTTAATTTTTGTACATTGAACTTCCCATTACATAAATACCTAGTTATTAATATTTTATTATATTAATACATTTTTAATCGTTATTCATTACAAAACATAATTTTTTTAATCAAGTTATGTATCTACTAATATATATTTTACTATTTTTTTCATTGTAATTTATAATTGTTTACATTTTTATTTTAGTTTCTGAATGTATTGAGTTTGCAATGATAATGTGTGTGTATATTTCTTTTATTTTAGTTATAGGTTTTATAATTTGTGTCTGTCATCACTTTTTGGAGCTGT